GAATGCTTAATACTTAATTTTCACAATTTGAGCAAGACAAGGATCTCTGTTATTAAAAGATGACATTTAAGGAATATAAAATATCTTGTGTTTTCTTTTTCATCTGTGTTTGTATTTTGTGTTTGGTGGTGAGTTTAGTGGAGAAGAGGTCAGGTAGGGTAAGGAAGGTATGGTGAGTTACATTTATTTAAAAAAAATAGTTGTAGTAAAAGTATGGCATTGCATATTAATATAGATATTACACTACACTGTATTTAAGTTACTAATACAATCACTCATTTATTCATAAAAATTTCATTAGATAAGAAATGGTATTAACATTACATAATGGAATTGAATACATGTTGCTTAGAATAGAGGGGAAGTGTTCTAGAAGGAGAACAGAGTCCAGAAAGATTGACATTCCCTTTAGAATAAGAGGATCATGAAGTCTTTAGAGAGAAGAGACTGAAAGCAATGGAAGACCAGCTTTCCTAGGAATAATTATATAAATTTTAAAAAAGAAAACTCACGGTTGGGTTGATGATGGTTTGGGATTGAAATTCTGACCCTGGGGTGAAATACATTCTTTCCTAACTATCAGTTATGGGCTCTTGAGCAAGTTATAGAAACTTATAAGTAGGGTTGTGAAGATTAAATGCAATGCGCCATATAAATGATAGTTAAATAAATTACCATGCCTTTGATCAATGGAGGAATACAGTAGGATCATGATGGGTTTTAATGCTTTAAAAAGACAGTAGAAAAGAGATCTAGATTTTGATCTGTTCATGCAATCTTTGACTCAACCCAGATTTCTTAGAAGACTACTCTCAGTTAGGTATTGTACTATGTTAGGTGCTGGTTACACTTTGATGATCAAATCCGTATTCTCTTTTCTATGTTTTTGTTGTGTACTGGTGAAACACATTGGTTAAATGTACTAATAATGAACTAGTCTCAAAGTCTAAAGTAGTAGGATGTCATTTTGTAGGTGGTATGAACACTGAACAAAGAAATGTAAGGGGCTTTAAAGAGAAAGACGTCTGTTACCACCTAGCTGTCATCACCCAATTTTTCATTCCTTAATCAGGGATATTAATGTTTGTCACCTCTCTAGCCTTACCCTTTCAGATAACTGAGGTTACCTTGTTGAATATTTGTGGGCATCATTAGCAGTGCAAAGCTATATAAATACAAGCTTTATTCCATTACTCACTACAGCATGTCCCATGGAATTTATTGATACAGTTATGATTCAAAGCAGTAGAATATAGGAATTTGAATCACTGGACAAATCTGCAATGCAACTTTATTCTGTGTGGTATATTTCATATAAAATTTTATTAAACCCTTTGAAAATTTGCCCCCTTAAGGGTTTAGGTTAAATAGTCTGGATTAGAAAACTGAAATATTACGGTAACAGCTGAAATTCTAGCTTCTCACTTTATTACACTAACATCTCACAGGTGATTCCAGACCAGTAGATGAATTTACATAATATGAGTCCAATACTCATCTGCGTTATGCAGGTGTATGCTTTAGATTGGACTGTAAGAAATTCAAGCCTCAGCTCTTATTTCCTGTAAGGTAGCTTGATGCCTAAATTTCAAATATAAACTTGATTATTAACAATGTAAATTGAATAGTGATTGTTATCACTTAGAATTTTGAATATTGTCTTTCAGAATGAAAACAATGTAGTTTTGAATGTCTGCTTGGTGAATATATTGTAATGTATGAAACTCCTCCAGCAGGGTCCGGGACAGTGTCACTTAGTCAAACACATTAACATTTCTGCATCATAGCAATAAATATTCATATTGTTTTTGTTGTTAGTTACCCTTGGAGTTGGATCTGACTCATGGTGACCTTACCTATAACAGGACAAAATGTTGCTTGGTCCTGCACCATTTCATTTTGTTGAATGTCTGAGTATTTTGTTAGGCTATTATGTCAATCCATCTCATTGAGGGTTTCCCTTATTTTCTCTGACCCTCTCTCTCTCTACTTTACCAAACCTGACGACATTTTTGAGCGATAGATCTTTCCTCTCGTGTCCAAAGTCTCACTGTTATCACTTGTAAGGAGAATTCTAGTTATATTTCTTCTAAGACTGATTTATTTGTTCTTCTGGTAGTCCATGGTACATTCAATGGTCTTTGCCAACACCACAATTCAAATCCACCAATTCTCTGTTCTTTTTTCATTGTCCATCTTTCATATGCATGGCTTGAATCTGGCACACTTAAACATCTTTGCTTTTTAAAACTTTAAAGGTCTTTTGCAGCAGATTTTCCCAATACAATACATAGTTTGATTTCTTGGCTGCTGTTTCCTTGGATGTTGATTATTGATCCAAGTACAATGAAATCATTGGCAACTTCAGTTTCTTTTTTCATTTATCATGATGTTGTTTATCAGTCCAGTTGTGAGGATTTTTGTTTTCTTCCCATTCAGGTGTAATTCATACTGAAGATTGTGAGATAAAGTTACCAGTTGCCATTTCTGACTCATGGTGACCCCATGTGTGTGAGAGTAGAACTGTGCTGTATAAGGTTTTCAACTGCTGACTTTTCAGAAGTAGACTACCAGTCCTTTCTTCTGAGGTACTTCTGGATGGACTTAAACTGCCAACCTGTCATGTTAGCAGTTTGCACCATCCAGGGACTCAGTGAGATGAAGACTTTAAGTAGCCTCACATCAGTTAATTTCTGGTTCTTCTGCCTAATGATCTTGAATCAGCATTTCAGTTTTCAGAGACTTTTGAATTTTGGACTTGTGAATCTGAGATTTTAGATCTGTATTAAAGCACACATACTTAATAAGATAGGACAAAGTTATTTTCTACAAACAAAAACAGCCTGTCTTGACACTTAAGAACCATAGCTTGGTGGCATCAGATCCCTGGTTCAAATCCTTTGGCAAAGTATTCTCCATGTCTTAGTTTCCTCATCTTCAAAATGAGTATAATAATAGAACCTACATCATAGGTTGTTATGAAGTGCAATAAATTAGCATTTATAAAATGCTTAGAAAAATGCCTGGCATATAATAGGTACTATTTAAATACTGTTACATAATGTGATTTACTTCATTTAAAGTTAGCATCAGAGAATAACAAAAATACACTGTTAGATTTAGTTGAATCTAGTTAAATTTAGTTAAATCTAGTTTTAATGCTCATGAGTGTACATTCAATTATTAGATATCCAGTTTGTAGGTATTTTCTACCATTGGGCTTTCCTTCTCATATGGGTCTGTCAGGAGAATGGACAAAAGGAACAGGAAGGAAATGTGTTAGCAGATATTTAGACAGAGAAGAGGTTTAAATAACATCTTAAGAATGGTGTTATATTCATGATTCATGGAAATATTGATTAATGATCCCTCTGGGAATGGACCTCTTTTATGACCAAGATGACGATATCTTAAAAAAATTAAATTAAATTAAAAACTTCATAGTCATGTGTGATGGAGCTCGTGCCAGCCAAACAGCTTAAGAGCACCATCCTTGCCAAGCTCCACAGGGCAGAAACGCCTGCAGGTATACTTACAGTTTTCTCTACACTGGCTTATGAATCTGAGGTGAGAGTGGTGGTGAAATCTTTGCTTTCTAAACAACCTCCTACTCTTCTGGGGAAAATAAACCAGAGAATATTTTGGAGAACAAATGCAAGAAATTGTGGGTTCCATTCTTATGAGCTTCCTCTCTGGCCTGAAACCAATCTGCCCCTGGTACATGGAGGTATAGCAGCGTGGAAGACCAGGAGCCTCTTCTCTCTTCCCTAATCTTATCTCTAGTTTAGGATCCCAAGTTTCATATATTTATAGAAATGTTGTCATCAATTCAATTAATCTTCTAAAGATATTTTTGCTCTTAATCCAGGTTTTGAATCTTGTGACAACCAATTATATGACATGTGCATTCTTTATTTTTGTGCAACACAATACGTGTTACTGGAACACTTTAGAAAACATTACTGTAGTCTGTAACTCTGCAACGCTGCACACAAAGGACTTTGCGATGGATTTTTGTAATCATGTCTGGGATAATGGAGATTCTGAGCAACGTACCAATACTGAGAATCTTAACTCCAACAAATGATACTGTATTTTCTATATGTGAGCCCTTTGAACAGAGAGTTTGTTAAGAAAGTTTTTGGTACCCACTAGCTATAGACTATATCAGAGAATACACTATCATACGAAGCCAGATTATGTAATTATATACCTGATACTCAGTGTTCTAAATTTCTCACCATTCCTTAATATCTCCAAGAGGGGAAGTTCTCTGACTTGGTTTGGTACGAAGGTTGCTGAAGGAGGAAAATATGTTCCCTTCCCAATTCTGAGTAAGAACATACAGAGGTCTTTGGGAGGCATCAGGGTTAAGGATGTTGTACTAAACAATCTATAAGAATTTATGAAGATATATTTTCTTTTTTAAAGAAGAACGTTTCAATTCCTGAAAGGAGATAAAAATTTCTTTGGGAGAAGACATTGTAGCAATAATCCTTTCTTGTGTAAATGAATTTGTTTCATTTATTTGACCTCTGAAACGCCATGAATGAAACCCTTATGTACTTGAACTTCCTCAGCCCTCCTTCCTATTTTCCTTCCGTTGTGATAAATCTCACCTCTGACTTTACTGGGAACTCTGGAGCTTTCTTGAACATATTCCTAACTCATGTATGAAACTTTCTGTGTTCTGGTGCTTGATACAAACAACTTTACAACTTTCACTTTTAAAACGTTTTTGGATAGCCTTTCCGTTCAGGATCCTGGAATTTTTATAAAACCATGGAGGTTTTTTTTTTTTTTTTTTTTTCTTTTTGAACTAAAGGCTGTTGGTTTGTGGAATTTCCTTTAACTGGAAGCACGTATGCGTCTGTGGTTTTAGTGTTTCCCAGTTGTATAATATCTTGCATGTTTGTTTTTATTTTCAAAGCTGGAGAATTGAATGTTAATTTTCATATTTTATAGAGGGCTAACATTTTTCCTTCCTTTTTTCCCCCCAGTTGAAAGAGACAAGGATTTCTCTCACCAGCGAAGGCATTACAAAGAATTTCGATTTGATCTTACTCAAATTCCTCATGGAGAAGCAGTGACAGCAGCTGAATTCCGGATATACAAGGATCAGAGCAACAATCGATTTGAAAATGAAACAATTAAGATTAGCATATATCAGATCATCAAGGAATACACAAATAGGTATCACCTTTATATCTAATTTATATCCTAGAAAACAAATGTTAAATTGTAGTAAAACCTACTGATAACCCGTGTGATCTATTGAAATGTGTTTTCTTTGGATGTAATGATATTCAGGGCCATTTATAGATACATAGAAAAGTAAGAGTAATTGACCTGAAAAATCCTTATATATTTTACACCTTTTCCACTCGCGACACCAATCCGTGTACTAAGTGGTCTCATGCTTCCCCCATGACAACCTCTCCAAGGTGGGACATCGTAATTTGACAAAAAGGAAGAAAGAAAGAAACAAAACACCAGGATTTAAAAAATCTTTTGCTCTTAATTTTTCTCAGGCTATTGAAGGCATTTTTATCACCCTCTCTCTCTCTCACACACACACACAATATAGATAAATATTTGTTTTCTTTCTTTTATACTTTGGGAACTTTTCTTTATAATTTGGAACCTAAAAGAGGATAAACAGATTAAAAATACTTCATTTTTCTATCATATTACCACAATTAAAACAAAAAGAATTTCAACTTGAAAAGTTAATTTTAAATCTAATTTTTTAGTTTTGATTATTTATTGTTTCACGTATTTCTTAGCAACTAAAATGGAGGTAGGGCAAAAGGAAAAAAAAGAAAGAAAACAAAAACTAGTGCCTCTGGCCAGTTTTGAAGCTGTGATCATTTCTTGAAACTTCTGTCATCAAACGTGTAGATTTTATCTACTTTGTATTTTGAATTAGACTCAGAAACAAATGAAAAGTGAGTGCAGACTGTACTTGCTAATGTAGTGCATTCAACAATGCATATATATTCTCACATATACAAAGCTCAGTTTCTCTAAGGTATTATTTAGGACTGCTGAGGCTGGGGATCACTGCAGTAATGTAGACTGATGTTTTAGAGTTTTACACTCAAGACATCATCCGATCTATGAATCATCCAGTTTATGAATTTTTTGACAGTGTTATATGACCAAATAAAGGAAACATTACTAATTCGTTATGTCATCTCTTTTCCCTCTTATTTATATTAATAAGACTTAAAACTCTTAAAATTATCACTTGTATTCTTACCACCTCCCACCTCTCCCGTTTATCCCTAGGCATATTTAAATGTGTGCAATTTAAAGGAGTGTTCTGATATTTATTCAAACTTTTATTTTTCTTGGTAACAAGTTCACACTCTTTGCATCATTTCACTTATTTAATCTTTTCCTATAAGGCTGACAGCCCCAAATTCTATATAGAAGGCATTGCTCTTCAGTCACACCTCATATATCTGGCATTATTGGGAAATGAGGTTTTCCACATGATTGAATTTTCCAGATAATTCTGCTGAGTTAGCATGCTTTTGTTGATCGCCTACCTTGTGGCAAGCACAGGGGACATAAGGCAGAGTAAATAAGGCCTCAAAAGCTCATAGTCTGGCGGCCAGAGGCTGTGGTGGGCCTGCCGCACACAGACTTTAATAACTATAATACAATGTGCTAAGCACTATGATGTAAGTCTGCACTAAGTGTTTTGGAAATACAAATGGAAGGAAAATTAATTCTTTGGGTGGGAGAGTGAGAAAACTTAGGGGAAGCAACTGAGAAGAATTCACCTCTGAGCTGGGCCTTTCCTGATAAGTAGGAGCTTCCTAGCGGTGAAAAATGTATCCTAGAAGGAGAATCTCTAAGCATGAAAATGTTTAAATGTATATGAATGAAATAATACCAAAAAAGAAATTGTCAATGTCAGTATTTCTACTGATAAGAATAGCAACCAATCCTTATTCATTTTATGGGCACTAACCATGTGTCTGGCACTGACTGTTAAATGCTTTACATGAATTAAATTTTTCACAAATACATATCTATTCCCAAAAGAAAATGTACTATGTATAACTCACCCTTTTCCTAATGCTCAGCTATGATTATAAATTTCTGTACTCCATTGTAAAAACATTTTAAGCTAGCCTGCTCAATGTCATTAGCCACCTTCAGTGCTTGGATAAATTCAGTTACGCTGTCATCATGCCAGTTCACAGTCAGCTTCATATTTACATCATCTCCCTCCTCCTGCTTCTCTAAGATTTGTGATTCTTCTGTGGACATACTTTAAAATGTAGATTGACAATTTCCACTCAGGAAGATTTCTTGGGCTCTTGAGAGCAGTGTAGCAGAGCAAGGCAGTCAGATGGTCAGAGACATCTTCTCTAAGTATATAGGGCAGTACACAGGCATAATTGCATTTTTTCAGTGTGCAGGGATCATGCTCTATTTCATTGGTTCTCAGCTGAGACAATTATTTTGCTCCCTTAGGAAACATTTAGCAATGTCTGGAGAAATTTTTGGTTGTTACGACCGGAGAGAGGGTGCTAATGGGTATAAATGTTGGGGTAAGAATATGGGTATGGATACTGCTAAACATTCTACAATGGACTAGACAGACCCTCCTCCCAAGAATGATACCATCCAAAATATCCATAGTGCTCTATTTGAGATTGGAGAGATCCTTCTCTATCTGAAGATTTGAATTGCAAACCTAAAAAGAGAAACAATTTGTGTCACAAAGCAGTTAGTCAGCTAATTTTTCTTAGACTATTTCCTATTTGGGTCACAAGAATAAAATATAAAAGAGCTCTTAGGAACTTGTACTGGGTGCAGTACTCATTCATTAGGAGTCATTGAGAGTGGTTGGACTATATATCTAATTGTTTCATTTCTTTGTTTCTTGTTGAATGAAGGGATCTCCTGTGGCACATGTTTAGATTTTTTTGCAGGGGCAAAGTAATGGATGATGTATGTCAGCAAACCTGCTAAATATTAAATGTGTCCTGTCAATTGAAGAAAAAAATTCCACAGAGAGGAAAGTAATAGAATTTTTGTTGTGGGAATTCAATTTGTTTTCCCATTTCTGCCATGCTTGTCATTCAGTTTCATCTAATATCACTATTTTACCCATTTGCATCTGTACCTGAAAATGCCAATGCCTCAGGGGATCAGATATTCTGAAAACGGATGTACAGTGAGATTTACGGAGTGTTTTAATTACCATTTGAAAAGATCACTGAGCTAACAAATTTAGCTTTAAACACTTTTAAATTAAAGCTGCTCATGAGAGAAACTCTTGGCATTATAAACTTGAGAGACTATCATTTACTCACTTGTAGCACCTTGTTAATCTATGCAGTACTAGAGCTGTAGTTCAGGTTCCTTGAATGATATGATGGTTTTTTTGTCAGAAATACTCAGAAGAAGATATATGCTTTATCTTTGGGTGGGCTTCATTACATTTTTACTAGATTTTAACTGCTCAAAGATGAAAGAAGTTGGAAGGAGATGAGATAGTTATGATACTGGAAACTCTATGAACCTGGAGATGTCGTTGTGGACTTTAAGGTACACTTGTCATAGAATACAGGTAGTGTTGCAACTAATCCTCCAAAATTTATCTGTGCAGCTTCCAGACAATTTTCAAAAGCTTTTCTTGGACAGTTTTAGTGCTTTCTGATTAGCTAGTGGATATATTCTTGGTTGACTGTTTCTTTTCTCTTTCTTTCTCTCTCTTTCTCATCTACACACACACACTCCACATACGTTGTGGTTGTTAACTGTTGTACAGTTGGCCTCAAACCCATAGTGGTTCCATATGTGTCAGAATAGAACTGTGTTCCATAATGTTCTCAATGGTAGATTTATTGGAAGTAGATAACCAGGCCTTTCTTCCTGGTCTGCCTGTTACTACATTTGTTGTTGTTCTCATGTGCCATCGAGTCGGTTCCAACTCATAGTTACCCTATGTACAACAGAACAAAACACCACCTAGTCCTGCACCATTCTCACAATCTTTGCTATGTTTGAGCCCACTGTTGTGCGTCCATCTCGTTGAGGGTCTTCCTCTTTTTCCCTGACCCTGTACTTTACCAAGCGTGATGTCCTATTCCAGGGACTGGTCCTTCTTTATAATATGGCCAAAGTATGTGAGAGGCAGCCTTGCCATCCTCGCTTCTAAGGAGCATTCTGGCTGTACTTCTTCCAAGACAGAATTTTTTGTTCTTCTAGCAATCCATGGTATATTCAGTATTCTTCACCAACAACATAATCCAAAGGCATCAGTTCTTCTTCAGTCTTCCTTATTTACTGTCCAGGTATCACATGCATATGAGGCAATTAAAATACCATGGCTTGGGTCAGGCACACCTTAGTCCTTAAAGTGATATCTTTGCTTTTTAACACTTTGAAGATGTCTTTTTCAGCAGATTTGTCCAATGCAATGCATTGTTTGATTTCTTAACTGCTGCTTCCATGGGCATTGATAGTGGATCCAAGTGACATGAAATCCTTGACAAATTCAAAATTTTCTCTGTTTATTATGATGCTGGTCCAGTTGGGAGGATTTTTGTTTTCTTTAAGTTGAGATGTATTCCATACTGAAAGAAGTAGTCTTTGGTCTTCATCAGTAAGTGCTTCAAGTTCTCTTCACTTTCAGAAAGCAAGGTTGTGTCATCTGCATATCACAGGCTGTTAATGAGTCTTCCCCCAATCCTGATGCCTCGTTCTTCTTCGTATAATCCAGCTTCTCAAATAATTTGCTCAGTTTACAGATTGAATAAGTATGGTGAAAGGATACAACCCTGACACACACCTTTCCTGATTTTAAACCACCCAGCATCCCCTTGTTCTGTTCAAATGACTGCCTCTTGGTCTATGTACAGGTTCTGCATGAGCACAATTAAGTGTTCTGGAATTTCCATTCTTCGATGTTATCTATAATTTGTTATGATCCACACAGTAGAAAGCCTTTGCATAGTCAGTAAAACACAGGTAAACACCTTTCTGGTATCCTCTGCTTTCAGCCAGGAGCCATATTATATCAGCAATGATATCCTTCATTCCAAGTCCTCTTCTGAATCCAGCTAGAATTTCCGAAAGTTCCCTGTTGTTTTACTGCTGCAACTGTTTTTCAATAATCTTCAGCAAAATTTTACTTGTGTGTGATATTAATGATACTATTCAATAAT